GGGGCAGCGCCCCAACCCCCTGATTGGCCCTGCTCTGTGTGTGACAGGGGGCGGTGCCCCAACCCCCCAATCGGCCCTACCCTGAGCGTGACTGAGGGTGGCATCGCAACCTCCCGATCCGCCCTGCTCTGTGCATGACGGGGCGGCGCCCCAACTCCCCAATCGGCCCTGCTCTGAGCCTGACCAGGGGCTGCACTTAGGGATTGGGCCTGCCCTCTGCCACCCGGGAGCAGGCCTAAGCCAGCAGGTCGTTATCTCCCGAGGGGTCCCAGACTGCGAGAGGGCACAGGCCGGGCTGGGGGACCCCCCCCCTCCCCCTGCTCCCCGAGTGCACAAATTTTTGTGCACCGGGCCTCTAGTATATATATAAAAGCCATGCGACCAGAATGACCAGAACGACTGGTCACTCTGATACACACTGTGTCCAGACAACCAGCTGGACAGGGGCTGGGGCCAGCCAGCTGTCCCGTGTCCCCTCCCCCTGGCTGGCCTGGCCCCCAATCGCCCCCCCCACCCTGATTGGGGGAGGGGCTGGCCGGCCAACCTCCCGTGACCCCTCCCTCCCCACCAGCCTGTCCTCGATTGGCCCTGATCTGCCCTGATTGGGGCGGGCCAGCCAGACCCCACCCATGCACGAATTTGTGCACTGGGCCTCTAGTAATGTATAATTTTTTTTTATTCTGAAAGTAGTTCTGCCTTATCCATAGCTTTGAATTGCACAGTTTCAGTTATCTGCAGTCAACTGCAATCCAAAAGTATTAAATAGAAAATTCCAGAAATAAAACAAGTCATCAGTTTTAAATTGCATGCCATTCCAAGTAGGGTGAGGAATGGTCCCTCCTGCTCTGTTTCACCTGGGATGGGAGTCACCCCTGTGTCCAGCTTTTGCACAGTACATACAGGACAAGAATATGTTTTGAGAAAGACAGAGAGGCCACATTCATATAACTTGTCTTACAGAATATATCATTATAATGTTCCATTTAATTTATTATTGTTGCTAATCTCTTACTGTGCCTAATTTATAAATTAAGCTTTATCACAGGTATGTATGTATAGAAAAAAACATACTATATATTAGGTTTTGATACTATCTGTGGTTTCAGGCATTCACTGAGCATCTTTGGAATGTATCTCCCAGGGATAAGGGAGGACTACTATATGCATACATATGTCCCTGACATGTATGTTTTGGAATTTTTATTAATCCTTGCCCAAGAATATTTTTCCATTGATTTTTAGAGAGGAAAGGGAGGGGGAGAGACAGAGAGAGAAACATCCATGTGAGAGAAACATATCTATTGGTTGCCTCCCACACATGCACCAACCAGGACCAGGATCGAGACTGCAACCCTGGGCATGTGCCCTTGATCAGAATCGAACCCGGGACCCTTCAGTCCGCAGGCTGATGCTCTATCAATTGAACCAGACCTGCTAGGGCTAACTAAACATATTTTTTTAAAATTTAAGTGTCGTTTTTGTTTGTTGTATTAATAGTTGTTAAACTCCCACTATGTGCCAGGTATAGCAAGGTGATGAGGATACAGTGTTGATCAAAGACTCAATACCTGGCCTCGGAAGAACTGGTGGGAAAGATAAAACCAAGCAGATGAGTAAAGAACTATGAACCTGTAAGTGCTCCCACGAAAAGCACAGGGCATCTGGGAGCTTACGACAGAGAAGCCTGATGTAGGCCAGAGGGGCAGGGAGCACCTCTTTAAACAAGTGTATTTACTCTGAGACACGCAGGGTGAGCAGACATCACCCAGGGGCCAATGTGATGCTCGTGTGCAGGTGTGTTTGGGGAGAGAGAGGCGAGCAGTGTAAAGGCAGTGAGATGGGAAAGAGCTGGACATCAGGGACTGGTGACTCTTGGCCTTGCAAGGTACCGAGGACTCCGGCTTTTATTCTCAGCTCAGGGGAAACCACCCCAGAGGTAAGACAAGAAGTCTGTACGTGTACAGAAGCCCCTGATGGTGGGACCAACGAGGAGGGTTTTGTGACTAATAAATGAGATCATGGAGATTAAGTTCTCAGCACAGCGTCTGGTGTTTAGGAAGTGTTTAATAAATACTCCGCTCTTTTATTTTCAATTAAAATTAATTGGGAAATGATTACAACTCTCTGAGCTTCATCTGCCTCCCTTGTAAAATAAGGGTAATGTCTGTCCCAAAGTGCAAATACGGTCCAGGGGCACGTAATAAACTACGCAGCGTAACTAGTTGTTGTGGATGGATGGCGGTGGCCAGGGCAGGGGCCTCACCTCGCTCTCATCCCGAGGATATTGTCAGGAGTGTGGAAACTGCTCTTGGCTCTCGGAGAATAAATACGCGAGCACGTGTAGCCTGGTGATGACGTGCAACTGTTCCCTTTGCTTTGACACGAGTGCTTTTCTTCCTTAACGCTCCCAGCTCTCGGCATAGGCATGCAGGTGTCTGCCAGGGCTGCACACGCGCATTCGGCCCGCGCAGGAGCCTTGGCGCTCTTCCTGCCACCGCTGCCAAAGTACCCAAACCCGAGACAGCAGCACTGCGGGCTAAGGACCACCGCTGGAAGCTTTTAGGAACGTGTGGTTTCTATTTGTGCCAACGGGGGGTGCTCCTCTGGCCCCCATTTTCTCCAGGTGGTCCACTTAATTTAACTCCCAGCCACTACTTTCTGCTTTGATTCAGGGAAATGACTTGTCTTTCCCATACATTTCAAATTCCAGAATCCTTTACATTTCCTGTGTTGCCTCCTTCTCCCTCATCTCCACCACCCTCAAACTCCAGTGCAAAAAAAAAGAAAAGAAACATTGAAAAAAATCCTACAGAATAAAAAATGTCCATGAGTCTGAACCAAATCTGGCATCGTTTATACCTGAGCAGACATTTGACTCTGTGGCCGGAAACGGTTTGCTTCAACACCTGAAGCTTTTTTTTTAATGACCTTATTTTAATGGTTTGATTTTGACAAATCCTGGGCTCCTGCTGAAAGGGATACGTGAGACACCTCATTTCTCGAACTGGTGACAGGAGTTTATGAAGTCTAGGCCGGTTCAATGAGGCGGAGCTAAAGGCAATTCTAAGAAATGAATAGGAGTTTCCAGTTTGCTCAGGCCCTGAAGGGGTGAAGGCCAGGGCACACACAGAATCCCTGAGGTTAAGAGAGGAAGGCTTCTCGGAGGAGGCGATGCTTCACAGTAGCAGCTGGAGGACCAGAAGACACACAGCCCTGAGGCCCTTCCAGGAGGAAGGGGAGCACCGAGGCGGGGCGCCACGAGCAGACAATGGAGGTTTTGAGTAGATATTTTCTAGGAGAAGCCAAAAGAAACACTCAATAGAAAGGAACCTGGGCAGCGTGGCAGGGAAGATACTGCGTCAAGCTGAGATGGGTTTTGTTTTGTTCCATCTTTAGCTCATGTAAGTCGTGATCAAATATGTAAATGTTTCAGGCATGTTTAGGATGTAATGTGGCTTATTTTTGTCTGAGACCAAGGCTTCACAGGAAGAGTAAAACACCCTGTTAAATTCAGCTAGCTAAGTGGCTCCTGTTTTCTTTCAATTATGCTCACGCCTCAAAGGGCTGCTCACGCTGCTGCCCAGCACGTTCAGCTAGCTAAGTGGCTCCTGTTTTCTTTCACGCCTCAAAGGGCTGCTCACGCTGCTGCCCAGCACTCTGATAAGATACACGGATAATCGCCCCAGGTGGGTGTTTGGAGGATTAAACAAAATGTTTACATGGAAAGGCCACAAAGAAAGAAGATGCCTGGGAGTCGAGTTCTCTCTTCTGTGTGTCCCTGGGCCGGCATCAGGCCTCCCTCCTGTGCAGATGGTGCTCCAAGTCTCTGGGATGGCACAGTGTCTGCTTCATCCTTGTCAGCCCTCCCACTGGACTGGAAGTCCCATGAGAACCGGGGTCAGTTCTTATTGGTTCTGTAACCTTCAGCATCCAAACAGCAGGAGGGAGAGGCCCATAATGAGGGTCACTTCTGTCTTGACCAGCCTCCCTAAGAATTTTTCAGGTTTTAGCAATTCACTGCAGCTTCTCTGGTTTTTGACGCCTGGCTTTATGTCCATCCTTCCCCTGTACCTCCCAAAGTAATAGAAAAAGTATTACTTTCTATTACATTTAATTAGGAGATAAGCCTAGAATGTGCTTCTGCCGGGGCTGACTGGCAGACCCTGGACGACAGATGAATGATTACTCTCACACACATTTCTGTGAAAGAGAAGCTAAGGGGATAGTTGGCATAAGGAGTCAAAAAAGCCCCGATTGCCTGCCTCCTTAGGCTTTTATTGTCACAACAGCTTGAACTAAAATTAACTATTAGATACTATCAGTAGGGTAAGCATCCTTGAGAAAGCACATGTGTCCTTTAAGCAAGGACATGTCTAAGTAAACACTGGAGGGCTCAGACTTGTTTGGAAAAGTCAAGGCAGGGGCAACCGCCTTCAGCCAACTCCTGTCCCATGCCTTCCCACATCTACCCCCTTTTAGTTTTGCTGGCTGCAGAAGATAGAGGGAGGTGGCAAACTTTCTGCTTTGGAATGGCAGGGCCTGTGAAGTGCGTTTACTGCTTAAGTTCTGATTTTATAGACTATAAGAAAAACAAAAAGAATTACAATGACAGCAATGGTTAGTCTAATTAAGAAGACAGGGTGCTTACAAGCATTAAATCTTGCCTTCTAGCAAGGTGTAGGGGACAGGGTTACAAAGGGGAAGGGGCTAGGGTGAGGAATGTAGCTACGTGCAGGCCTGGGGTCTGTAGACATCAGCTATTGTCAGGCGACAAGATGACCTTGATTCCTGGTGGGTCTGTCTGACCATGTTTAATCGGTTCTGTTGCTGGATTTACAGCAGTCACCTCCCTAATTACTTCACACAGGCCTTAAAAAGAAAACTTCAAGAAAAACTTAACCCCCTATTCACATATAAGTATATGTGTTCTAGAATTTGAAATAATATTATTATTTTTCAGATTAATTCAGGTATTTTATCTATTAGATTTATTATGCAGTATACTTATAATTCCTTCTAAGATTTCTTTTTTTATAAATCTTCTATAACTTTTATAAACATTCTTATAACTTCTATAATTATTCTTAACTATTCCTACTTTAATTTCCTTTCTTCCTGTTATATTCCTTTTTTATATTCCTTCTTACAATTTTTACTTCCTTAACTCTAGTTCTTCTTTACTATCTACTGCAACATATATATATTCTTTCAGTTTGTCTATTTTATTTTCCTTTTCCTTTATCTCTATATCTTCTATTACACAAAAACTATAAATTCCTTCTAATTAGATATGATTAAAGGTTAGTTCTACTCAGGTCCTTTATTCCTAGCTTTAGTAGTTGGAGTGGTGAGAAGTATGTCTCCGAGTCCATCTCTCCTCTGGTTGACCTATCATCCTTGCTCTGCTCAGGTCTGTCTAACTGCCTACTAAACCTTCCTCAAGGATCTTGGCTCTAAATTCTTTCAGGGAAAGGGGATGCTGGGTTTCTTCTGTAGCTGCTTTGCGCTGATGTGGGTTGGAGGTTTCTTTCAGAGTCAAGAGATCTTTGCTCTCCATCAAAGGGACGATGAGGCCTGGACACAGAAGGAGGTGGTAATGGTGTCTAGAGGTGATATTCCCTAGGTGTAAGTAGGGCTTGTAATCTAGTGGAGACAAACTGTGTTATAAAATTTAGTATTATTGGGCAAAAGTTAGAACAGTTTCTAATAATTTCCTGTTGAAACAATTTTTCTTTCTAAAATCACCCTCATTTTTATTAAAGACTAATTTATTTATGGTATTAAGTTATAATTTTGCATGGTTGTTTGCATAATCACAACAGGAATAACAGTTGACCATATAGGCTATTAAAAAATATGCTTTGCTGGAATCTTATGAGAAAGTTTACTCCTAGGGCCAACAAGTTAAGCCACACAGTTGTCATCAGGCTTTGCCTGCAATACCTACAGAATTGGGAATGCATTCCTCAGGTTGAGGTCCCTACACGTGTCTGGAGGTTTCTTTCATGCCATCTTTCAGGAAATCAACCTTTGTTCCTTACCTGGATAGACTGCCATGAACCACATGACCAAGGCTATTTATCCAAGGGGCTTATTGGCTTCAAAGTCAATCTTCATTCCTTAGAGCTTTCTGGTGACATCCAGAGTCCTGGTATGTCTTTCTTTCAGACATGACATTCTAGTAAAGTTTTGGTTAATAAAACTACAGTTGCAAACTCACTTATGTCCTGTTATGAAGAAACCAGATTCTTATTGGATTCATGCAAACAAACATATTGCCATGAGAACAATAATTATCAAAACTATTATTATTTTTAGTTCATTTAGTCCTATAACTAAATTATTTTTCTCCTGATTTTTCTAGACAATATTTTTAGAAATCTAGATAGTCAATAGAGTAATGTAAATGACATGGAATCTTGTCCTTTCTGTAAAACACAATATTCCACAATATTATAACTTACTAGAGGCCCGATGCATGAAATTCATGCAAGAGTAGGCCTTCCTTCCCCCAGCTCCTGACACTGGCTTCCCTCTGACACAGGGACACAGGCTTCCCTCCGGCCACTGGCTTCATCCAGAAGGTCATCCGGGAGGACATCCAGTCTAATTAGCATATTATGCTTTTATTATTATAGATAACAATTAGTTATAAATGAAAGTATATCAGAATCTATTTGATATGCATATATAAATAGAATATAATTATTATTTCCTTATTTGACAGAGCTTTCCATATACATTAAGTATAACATTTCCTTTATAAGGAGAGAAAGCAAATTTTAAAATTTAAACTCTGGGAAGGTAGTCAAATATATTATATTATTATATGTTATTATTATTATTAAACAGTATTAAATAATATATATATAAAACCTTTGCTTCCTAGGCAAACACAGGAAAAACCTTTTTTCCTTACTTTTAGAAATAGGCTTATTTTTCCAATGGAAAACATACTCACATTCTTAAGAAGGATAACAGAGGTAGTGAATTCCTTAGCTGAGAAACAATTCACTCGAACCTTGAAATTCCAAGTGGGCTCCAATGACTTATTGCACAGTTACCTTCATTTTCTTACTCTTAGTTTTGAGGGTTCCATCCCATTTCATTGCATTCCTGGGTCCTCACATGAGGCACCACTTTGCCGGGGCTGGTGGGCAGACCCTGAACGATGGATGAATGATTACTCTCACACACGTTTCTGTGAAAGAGAAGCTAAGGGGATAGTTGGCATAAGGAGTCAAAAAAGACCCAAGTGCCTGCCTCCTTAGGCTTTTATTGTCACAACAGCTTTAACTAAAATTAACTATTATATGCTATCAGTAGGGTAAGCATCCTTGAGAAAGCACATGTGTCCTTTAAGCAAGGACATGTCTAAGTAAACACTGGAGGGCTCAGATTTGTTTGGAAAAGTCAAGGCAGGGCAGGCGCCTTCAGCCAATTCCTGTCCTATGCCTCCCCACAAGCTCCTAATTTAAATGTAGATGAACTTGGCTTTGGCTACTTGGCCGGGAACCCTCGGTGAGAAGGTCCTAACAGACAAGTGTGGTGTATCACAGTGACCCAGGACAAGGAGAGAGGAAATGCCCCTCGTGTGTCTGCAGCAGGAGCCACCGACAAGTTCACCTCACCTTCAGCCAATTTCTGTCCTATGCCTCCCCACAAGCTCCTAATTTAAATGTAGATGAACTTGGCTTTGGCTACTTGGCCGGGAACCCTCGGTGAGAAGGTCCTAACAGACAAGTGTGGTGTATCACAGTGACCCAGGACAAGGAGAGAGGAAATGCCCCTCGTGTGTCTGCAGCAGGAGCCACCGACAAGTTCACCTTCTCAGCCAAAACTGGTGCTTCCACCCTCTGCTTTCTCTGGAACAGTTTCTCCAGGTGTGGTCCCCAGACCTGCAGCATCAGCATCACCTTGGAACTTAGTAGAAATGCAAGTTCTCTGTCCCTTCCCCAAACCCCATGAGTGAGGAACCTGTGGGGCCCAGCAATACACGCTTAATAAACCCCAGGAGACTGCAGAGCCTTGGAGAGAGCACCACGGAACTCCTAGCTCGTTAGGGCTGCAGCCAGGCTGCTGCACCAGGGCCTTTCTGAAGCCAGCGGGGGCGGTGAGGCTGTGCACCCTTCAGTTTGCTGGCAGAACTCTTAGTGAGCTAATGGGCCTCTCAGATGCCATCTCCTGCAAAACGAAGATTTCCTGGCTTTTGCCTTAAACCTGCAGAGTCATAATTTCAATAAAATTTTGGTAGAATTAGAAAATCAGCAAAGTCAGCCTCAGGCAGACATGTATTCTCTGCTGAACGGAGGCCCGCCCTCCTGTGGGGGCAGAGGGAGAGCATGCATGTTAATGTGCTCCCATCAGCCCCACGCCAGACTCTGGAGGACAGGATACTGTGGCATGCATACCAGGTTTGACTGTGAAACCTGCCTCCAGTTCCATAGGACAGGCAGCTTTTGGTGAGCTTGAGGGGTAGAGGTTGGAGATGATCAGAGAAATAAGGAGTGTAACAATGACTTCTCAAAGTCCACAGGGACTGGCTTAGAAAGAACCCTTCACCTTGTCCCAACCTCTGAACTTTCTCAGATCCAACTTCAGGCACCCGGCTACCCTGGAGGCCCATTCACATGCACTTCTGTGAGGACTCAGGCTAGGGGAGCAGCGGCTCTGGCACAGCCTGTCCATTCATCACACAGACACACAGGGGCCCTCAGGGCGGGCACTGCCCTGGTACAGGAGGATACAGCCTGCCTCAAGGAGCTGGCAGTCCAGTGAGGCTATGCATGAGGAATCGGGTAATTATAAACATCGTGCTACATCTTGATACAGGATTCTATGTAGGAGCGTTTAGATACCCAAGCCAGCCTTAGAGGGACCAGTGATGTTTCCCAAAGGAAGTGAGTGAAATTGAAGGATAAGCAAGAATTAGCTGGTGAGTAGTTGGTTGGGAAGATGGAGTGGATGGGGTGATGGGTGACAGAGAGTGTAACAGGCAAAACTGAGAGGGCACACACATTGAAGATGATCAGCAGGTCCAGAGCAGGGACAAGGAGGGAACAGGGAGAAGGGACGTGATGTGGGAGCCCCACAGGAAGACACCGTTGTGACATTTCAGGCAAACGGACATTGTAGACTTTCAATGGCACTTCAGCTGGAGTAGGTATTTGATTTGAATACAGTATTCCCCCCGTATCTGTGGGGCACACGGTCCAAGACCCTCAGTGGATGTCTGAAACCATGGCTAGTACCAAACCCTGTATAAACTATATTTTTCCTATACATGCATACATACATGCACACATGCATACATATCGTGCCTACATACATTTTACAGCTTCTCTTCGGCATATCCGGATTGCCAGCATCACTATTTGCGCTTTGGGACCATTATCAAGCGAAATGAGTGTGCCTGGAGCACAAGCACTGTGATCCCATGCTAGTGGATCTGCTGGCTGAGGTGCCTACTAAGTGGCTAAAGGGTGGGGAGCAGGTAAGTCACGGAGACTCTGGACAGAGCGGGGTGCCTGTTCTGGGTGGGGTGGAGCAGGACAGCTGGGGATTTCATCACCCTACTCAGAACGGCACACCATTTAAAACTTACAAATTGCTTGATTTTGGAATTACCCATTCAATATTTTCAGACTGCGGAGAGTGAAACTGCAAATAAGGGGCTACTACTTACAGGTGAAACTGGAGGGCAGCCAGGAGAGCCACAGCTGAAACAGCTTCCAAGAGATACAATTCTGCGGGTACACGTAACAAAGATTTGCTAAAACTCTGTGAGGAAAGTTTTAAAACTCCCCTGACAGACACCAAAGTGGGCTTGGACAAATAGGAAGTGTCTTAAGTTCTTAGTAAGGAAAACTCCACATCCTTAGTATGCTGACCTTCCCCAAGCTGATAGATGTATTTAACATGACTCCAATAAAAACCCCAATACATTTACCTGACAAATACTACTCCCCCCAAAGCTAAAGAAGATAGTTGTCCTTTTCTCTTTTTAGTGCGAATATGAGATGATGGATGCTAACTAAATTACTGTGCTGACTATTTCACAATATATGTAAGTCATCGGGCTGTCTCGCTCATGCTGTATACTTCAGCTTACACAATAAGGTCTCTCAGTTACGTCTCAGTAAAGCTGGAAGAAAGAAATAAACATGCCCCAAAGTTTTCAGAGGCTCACCATCCTCACAAGGTTGGTAATATTTTAACTATCAGGTTTTTTTGAAATGTAGAAACTTTTATGTGTTACTTATTTTGATATTAAAATAAGTTTGTTTTTTGAACCTGTAAGTTTCTTCTCTATTCAAATACAAATAATTTTTATTTGCAATGCATTTCATATGTCTCATGATATATAACATATCAATGGGTTTAGTGACAATATGAATTCAGCCATAATTCTCTCCAACATAATGGAAAAAAGTCTTCAATTTTTTCTAAAAAAAAAAATCTAGAGAAAATGATTGCAAAGCTTTTTTAAAACAAACACGTAAGAATAGCCAGGAAAACTCTAAATAGCAACAATAGTGAAGGGAATGGATTGACCTATCAAATTTAGAAACATTTATCACATGGAATTATTTTTTATAGCATCAGATTGGATGCAGCCCAAATGTTTATTACTAACCCCAGTAACAGATTGTTTGAATAAACTATGCTCTGTCTATCCCCTGGAATACTATGCAGTCATGAGAAAGATCAGGAAAGATCTATATGTACTGAGTAGAAGTGATTTCCAGAATCTGAAAGCAGGGTACAGACCAGTGCATTTAGTATACTCTTCATTCTTGTGTAAGAAAAATGAGAAAATAAAATTCATAACTGCAAAAAAAATCTTAAAATGCACTCAATAATTCTAATAGTATTATCATTTTAAGTATGTTTATGCATAGTACAAAATAAAGCAAAGAAATATATATCTCAATGTCAGTAGGAACCAAGGGTTTTCATGTAAAATCAAAAGAAAAAACTGTATTGTTAAATTTGAATTTGAAATAGGAACATGAACTCAGTTTCTAAGAGTGTGTATATACTTGTGTCAGTCCACAAGAAGCAATGATACCCTAGTAAGATGAGTACCTAGTCTTGCTTCCTGAATCTCATTCGCCAGGAGAAGGACATAAAGCTCCTTACTGAAACTGCTTATTCAGGTCTTGAGCAGGGAAAGTACGAAGTCAGCCTGGAATACCTTGTTGCCCAGACATAAGCAAGTACCCAGAAAAAATGAGGGCATGTGCAAGGACAGAGACGCCAGCTTGGAGGGCTCGCACTGATCAAACTGAGCTCAGGAGAAGCATCTATGAGAATACTGTCTCTAACTGGTTGACATACACTGAATCAATAAATTTGATAAGTCCATATTGATTAATGCACAGAGAGAAATAAAAATTTAAAAAAATCAAAGAAAGAGGAAGAAAGAGAAACTCATTTGCTACCACAAAAGTGATTACTACACCAATTCTTTATTCTAAAAATCGATAAAGGAAAACTATAATCATTTTCTCTGCTTTTAAAATATAAAATATAGTTTATTAATTATGGAAATATCTATATACAAGTGGCAGCTAATGAATGTGGAAGAACTCATAACATTTTAAATTCACCATTTGGAAATCCCCAGTGAAATGCCTGGTTCGGGCAAGTCTAAACAATAGGTAATAAAACTACTTAGGCTGGCAAAGACCAGGATGTTCACACGCTGCCAATAATCACCCCACAGATTACATGTTAATGGCAAAGAGGGAAAAGGCATTTTAACCAAGTGATCAAACTTAGTATCACTAATGGTAGGACATATTTTCTTATACGCCTTCTGATATGATATGTTATGAAATACAGGGTATCATCTATGCTCCATAGAATTCTTATAAAAATGCTGAACTTGAATCTAACAGACCCTTTAGATGTAACTTTCAGTTTGCAGGAAATAAGTGAATAGAGGAAAAAGTAAAGCAACCTGACAAACCCAGGTTTGGGGAGATTCTGTTGGCTTATTCTTTTCACAAAAGGCCAAGTAAGAAAATAAAACAGGGGACTGAAGAGATTTAACAACCAAATGCATAAACACTTACTGGTCTTGGACCATTGGGAGACGGGGGAGAAGACATTTGGGAATTGCATATTTGTATGAGAGAATTTGTGTTAATTTTCTTAAGAAGCACAATCATATTGTAGAATGGAGGAGAATATCTATTTCTAGGAGACTCATGCTGAAGTATTCAAGTGGGAAAGAGCATGATGTCTGCGAGTTGCTTTAAAATGGTTCAGCCAAAAATAAAAAGACAGGGAAAAGCAAATGCGGCAAAAATTTTACAAACGTTCATTGTCCCATTCTTTCAACTTCTTCTGGTAAGTTAAAAAAAAAAAAAAAAAGCTAAATTAAAAGACAGACTGACTCCAAAATTTCTGGATTGGGCAAGTATTTAGTAATTTACTGAGAATAAGAATATGTAAATAAAACAAAATAATCATGCATTTATCTTGCCTTTTTTTATGAATTGTAACATTGGGTTATTAAGTAATTAATGATGAAACGGTGATCTTTTAAGAAATATTCCAGCTAATGAATGAAGTGTGATAAGATTTGAGTATCACCATTTTGCAAATTAACTAATGAGTTAATTGGGATTCAGGTTAGATTCATCTCTTGGATCTAATTGTCCATTTACTCATGTTAACTGACACTATGTGAAATTCCACAGTAACTGAATCTTCAAAATTCAGACTTTGGGAATCTCTACAGGACAAGTAACATGGCCCCTTTAATACAAATTTGCAAGAAAAAAGAAAGATTTGCAAGAGAATCTTTGGACCTAAGGATGCATATCAACCAGAGATCATGGTGTTAAAACTCAGAAGAACTTGAAAAAATTTGTATAAAACATTTGAAAAAATGTGAACATTGTAAAATATTTGATATAGTAAAATCATTGTACATTTTAAGGGTGATGACAGTATTATGTTTATATTTTTAAGAACCCTTTCTTGGAGATAAATATTGAAATATTTATAAATGATTTATAAATGATCAATGTCTGAAATTTGCTTCAAATTATACAGAGGCTAGAGACAAGTGAATAAAAGTATAGATGAAATTAGATTAAGCAGATATTGGTAACTTTTGAAGTTAGATAATAAATACATAAAATTCATCATAGTCTTCTTCTACTTTCCAATAGTTTTTAATTTTCAATAGTAAAAGGTTAAAAAAAATCTTGAAAGCAACAAAGCTGTCCTTCAGTAGGTGAATGGATAAATAAACTGTGTAACATCCAGATAATGGGATATTATTTAGCACTAAAAAGAAATGAGCTATCAAGATGTGAAAAAACATGGAGGAAACATAAATGCATATTACTAAATGTGAGAAACCAATCTGAAAAGACTATATATATACTAGAGACCCGGAGCATGAAGTTCGTGCACGGGGGAGGGGGTGTCCCTCAGCCCAATCTGCACTCTCTCCAATCTGGGACCCCTCAAAGGATGTCCAACTGCCCATTTAGGCCCAATCCCACTGGGCCTAAATGGGCAGTCGGACATCCCACTCACAAGCCAGGACTTCTGGCTCCTAACTGCTCACTTGCCTGCCTGCCTGATTGCCCCTAACCGCTTCTACCTGCCAGCCTGATCACCCCCTAACCACTCCCCTGCCAGCCTGATTGATGCCTAACTGCTCCCCTGCAGGCCCGAT